ACATACATACATACATACATATATATATATATATATATATATCAAATTTCATGCGATTTATCCATGCGCGGCGCCCTAGCAAAATGGGTGTCCTTCTTAGGTAATTTCGACATTCCGGACGCACCGACGCGGTCTGTTTTGCCGTCAGAGGTCGTTTCGGCAAATTCATCGATTTGCGTGTCAATTTTCTTGTGTAAAAAATATGACAATATGAGTGTCCATTCCTACCAAAATTGGTGTCCCGGACGCGTTGTCGCAATCCAATTTGTCGTCGGAGGTCATCCGGAGAAGTTCGCATTTTCACCCATCCTTTAGGCTTAATTGATGTCCGATTTCGTGCAACTCAGTGAATTTTGTGCATTTGGTGTGTGTATGTGACGAAAAAGTTGTGACGAAGTTTTCCTAAGGCTTGGAGTCCTATTATGAACTTTTCCCTTGAGTCTTCACAAAATAGCCCATAACCGCTCGTTCATAAGACGATGGTCTTGTGCCAAAAATGCTAGATCAAAGAAAAAAAATTAGTGCCTAGAATTTCTAAAAGGGTGGGTCATAATTCTAGTTTACTAAGACGATCAATAGGAACTCTTAGAGCTAGATCCTAAGACCCAAGAAAAAAGAAATGACCTCAAAAATGAGGTCAACAGTGAGGTGCGTACCATTACCTGAATTATCCAAAGTATCGTCCATTAGATTCCTGAGCTCAAGTAGGTTTCCGTTTTTCTTCCTCCTGGATGTGTAAACCTATCATTCCTCATCCGAAGATTAACCATTCGGTTTAGGTGGTAGAACTGTAGTAGAAAAAATTGCCAACTGTTGTAACCACAATATGTTATAGTGTATGTGAAGTACGAGTTGTCGCCTCTGCACCGGATACTTCCTGAAGATGGGGAGCTGCAAGACTCTCCTGATATTCGGTTCGAACATTATCCTTTGTAGGTAAAGATCCTTCAGTATTGTTTTCAATAAGGTTTGAAAGTGTAGGTTGCCCAGCAGAGCCATCCGACATCACATCAACATCACATCAATCACAGAAACAGTGCTCGGACTGTAGCTCATATGAGGTGGTGATCTTCTTCTAATAGTCAAATGGTGCTTTGACTATAGCTTGTTCTTGAGAGAGTATTTATCATTAACTTCTCATCCTCTGCAACATTCATCTCGCCGCTGCCGCCTCGCTCAAGGAACAACCGGAAAACTCTCTTACTCTCTTCCTACAACTCCAGTAGTCAGCCACCGCCTCCTTTACCTGCTGTCATCTCTTCCAGCCACCTCTGCCCTTGCTACTACTCATTCAAGCGCCCATCTTCGCTGTCCAACCATCCTCTGGCTTCCGCAGCCACGAGACAACCCTCCTTTTGTTGTTCCGGAGTCCCACACATTCCCCACTGCAGCTGTCGTCATTCCCGCTTGTTACCAC